GATACCGATAGCCTCATCTGTTAACAGAGAGAATTGAAATTGCTCTATATACTTACAAGTGTAGAGATCTGTTCCACTTAAGTGCCAGGTTCGTGTAGCTACTCAAAGTAACTTTTATTGCCCGTGATAACTTTATGCTAACATTCAAAGGAAATTCCTATGTCTAATGCTGTTCCGTAAGCTGGGATTGATCCAGACAAAAAGCCTGGTGTCAGCCGAGAGAGATGTTGGACGGCCGCCTACGGTTCCAGCGAGATGGGACAAAGTAATTTACACCCAACCCATTATCGTACATTTTTGATCAGGATCCCATTCAGCCCACCTCTTAAGACCTCAAAGACGAATGGGCTATGCCCTTAGGACTAATTTTTGGGATCCACAGCAATTCATTTCCGCAACGGTGGCATTTACTGGCAGGGTAGCGAATTTCCCATCCAAAACTGCTTTAAACTTTCCAATATAAACTCGGAAACAGGTTTTCGGGCAATTATCGGTATACCCAGCCTATCTGATTTCACGCCACGGAGTTTTAAATTTTATAATGCTTTCACTTTACCGCTTGCTGTCGATCCCAGGTGCCCAAAAACTCCAAATGGCCAAATAATTTTTTGTTCGATTGGAGTTTTAAGGATTGTTTGCGATGCCGGCAACCGTAGATTGGGCGTACAGTCAACTGGGGCTTGAAATTAAATCCAACTGTTGTATTCAAAACATAACATGATAATCGTGATCTTATTTTATAAGCATGAGCTAGGCTATCCCCTGTAATGATAAGAAACTAGTTTTAGCATATATCATCCTTAACGTATGAGGTTCAGGTAAATCGAGAACATGCCATGCCATCAATGTAGAAGGACACAATGGTGGCATCGCCAGCATCCGTAGAAAAACTAATCTATTAGAACATCGGTTTCGACGTCTGTCGTCAGGAAGCTGTCATATACTTCAGTAGGTTAGGCTAGATATGGGACGACTCTTAGATCTCGTTCAGCCGTATTTTTCTCTCCTCTAAAAAAATCCGCTTAATCTCAATCAGAGATATATGGAATTACTCGAAGTTTCTCCTTTACTTCTAGAGCCTATATGCCAGGAATTACTGTAATAGCAAAAAATTTCGAGAATGAAATATCATATTTTTTGGATGTCATGTACATTACGAAAGACCATTCCAGGTCAGTACTGTACCAAGAACTTTGCAGTTTTTGAAAATTAGGCGCTTGCATTGGAGGTACAGTGTTGTAGGGGGGAGGGGAAGGGTGCATAGATACTCTGACACTTGTATTATTATCCTTCCAACATACAGTATCTGTTATTTTTATTGATATCAGTTTATTTTTCTATTGCATGTGTCATACAACACCCAGAGAATACCTTACTGATAATTACAAAGTATCATTAAACAGCGCGGCATACGATTGGTCATAGAACCGTGAAGCAACTATATAGATTCAATCCAAACACAATTTTATGTCGAAAAACTGTATCTTGACAGAGATCAAAATTGAAATTATTGGTGCTCTACATGACTCCTATCTTCCTAGGACTAAAAATAAATTCCAACCTTATTGCAACTACTAAAAAAACTCCTTGTTCCTATGCTGCCGAGGATTCGAGAGGACTTCCGGTTTTCCGTGAATTCTATGGAGTGGCTACCCACTTGAAATTGATCCTGCAAGCTTGTACTTTTTTTAGCTGGAGCGCTATCCTGTTTGATGTAACGTTTGACCTAGATTGCATAAATTTGTTTTGAAATTTTTACCAGGGATTCTTATTGAAAAGTATAACAGCAGTTCGCCAGTTGCACCCTCCAATAAGGAATACGCAAGTGATTCAAATACCGGTTATTTATTTTTATTTACAGTCAATATTAATTAATGAAAAATAGAAAATGGCGTGACGTCACGGTACCGGCAAGTGAGCAGCCAATCCTTTGACGCTGTCATTGATTGTCACCTATGAGTTTGATCAGTTCCAAAGATTACAGACTGACGCGGAATCTGCCACTGAGCCGTCTAACTACAATGGGTTATGCCCCTTTTTCAACATAGATGTCAAGACCGTTTTACAGCCGACGAGCTGCCATGAGCCACGAGAATTTTGCCGTCCAAACAACAAAAGGATCCTTGTTTACTTTCGAAACTTGACAGCAAATTAACCAAACATAACATAAAAGACTTTCTTGCGAGATCCCGCAGTGAATGGATCGGGGACAGATGGAATTCCCCATCCTCTCGAAGTTTTGACACTCTCATGTTACACCGGGAGTGGTTAGGTGGCGCATGTTAAGCAAAATTTTTGCTTTAAGCTCCTTGATAAACTTAGCTGCCTCCATTGAAACTGAAGTAAAAAGACCGATCGTTTTTTGTGCAATGTATAACAATAAGATCTACCTTTCGATATGACATGTGCGGTTCCTATATCTACGATGATCTGACAGTCTTTTCCCTCGCCATTTAAAATTAGTTAGCCCTGTTCTTCCATTTTCTTGATTTATGATTTATTTAAATCACTGAATCTTCGACACTGCGAAAAGAAACTTTCAATTGAGATGCCTGTTTTTTCAAACGACATTGACATTAGGCCTGTCACCCGCTAGTACCTCACCTTCCTATACCGTTTCCTCGCGAAAATTTGGGTATCAGTGTCCGATACTACACAGTGCTACAAACACATTGGCATCGCACTTTGGAGTATTTAGGAAAAAATACAGACATTTTCATGAATGAAGTATGTTTGTGTTTATGTTAACGTAAACAATTGCCAGAAAATGCAAAAAAACTATGTACTATATACTCCCTATTATCTTTAACTATAGGATATATTTTAAGCAGTACACTGTCTAGTCTAATATTTATGCATATACTAGGGGTTCAGTATACCAGGCTCTGGACACTAAGGTTCTAAATGTAAGAAAACGACGTTAAGCAGACTTGCTATACAGGGTGTTTGAAATTCGACCATTGGGGTCTTGGAAACTATAAGAGATACGAGGTCACTTGAGCGTATTTAGGTAATCAACAAAATGCCACTTAGAAAGTCTCGAAATTCAAAGTACTTCCGGAGATAGACGGAAAAACCCGTATTTTCCCAAAATAATTCTAATTTTTTCTTGACTTTAATACTAGTGGGATGGCCATATAAATTGCACCTTAACATTTCCAGTTTTTCTCCTCTACAAGATGCCATAATTAGAAAACTAAAATTTCAATGTGACGTTTCGTCTCTTGTCTTGTAAAATTTGGCAATATTTGTACATTTTTAAAATTAAAAACTCTATTCATCTGTGCAAAACCCAATCTGGCGGCCATGAGAAAAAACAAAGTTGATGCCCGAGGGCAAATGACGAAACTTCATATTGAAATTCCTATTATGCCATCTTGAAGAGGAGAAAAAGTGGCAATATTAATGTGCAATTTATTTTGACATCGCACTACAATTGAAGTCAGGTAAGAACTAAAACGATTTTGGAAAAATTCGATTTTTTCCGACTCTCTCCGGAACTTCTTTGAATTTCGAAATTTTCTGAGCGGCATTGTGTTGATTACCTGATTCCCCCAGTTTGTCCCCATTTAAACGACTTTGTATCTCAGTTTCCGAGATCCCGACGGGGAGTGTCAAATTTAGTAAATGTATACTTCCCACGCTGTCAGTAGCAGCTCATATATAGTTAAATGTACCTATAGGCAGTGGCATTAAGGAGAGAAAGGTTTTTTATAATCATTAATGTACTATTGGCCATTTGTTCATGGAAAAAACTTAGACTGCGACACTGAGTGTGTCCGTATATGGTAGCAACATTTCTTTGGATGTGGAGTGAAAAATATTTTGGTATCAGTGTTTGAGAGCTGATTACAATAGCTGATACGTACTTTGACTCCTGGAAGAACCATTAAAAGCTCATCAGTCTACCCCAAGGCATTTCTCTTTTTTGTTATTTTTTGTCAAGAGTTTTTGAAACTTGACTAAGCATAGCGGTCAAATCCATTTATAGATAATCTCTCGCCTACCTCATAAATGTCTTTGCGTGCCAGCCCGTTAGCTGCTCCTGTGAGTAACCAGCAGCGACCTGGTCCACAGTAGGCTAGCAGCGGGTAGGATTATGGTCTATATAGCCAGACATTGGAGCTGATTCAGATACGTAAGCGTGTACGACTATTTGTCTAATGTGCATCAGTATCAGAAGCTTCTTAATAATGGGATTATTTCAAACTAAGTGTAACCAAGGTATTACATTGTTAAAGCCCTGAATTTTAAACTGTGCAGTGTAAATTTGTGAACCAGCAGTTTTAACATAAAAAGATGCCGCAACTCTTCACAACGGCATGTACCCAATGTGCAAATTCGACGAATTGTTAATGCGGAACAAGCGAGAGCGCTGCAGGAGAGGCGTTGCAAAGTTGCTGATTTATTATATTGACATTACGTGACTAGATGCAGATGCAACTCTGACCCCTGTTAGGAATTCAGCGATGCGCAAGATGACGTAGAAAAAACAAAAAACAACATAACGGGGTTATGGGAAGAAGTCTGACACAAGATAGAAATCGATGAAGCATTTGAGGATAAGAAAGCTTTCCAACTTCTACATACTTAAGCGACTGTGAGAGGTCTTTTACTGATACAGCGCCTAGGCCGAGACCTAAATGCCAAGGTACGTCGAGCAGCTTGAAGACACCTTGTTAGCCCGATTTTTGAACTGCCTAGGTTTAGTAGGAGTGGAAACAACCTCCTTAGAAGGCACACGTGATGAAGGCCACAGAACACAACTGTAACTTGCTGCAACTCCTTGTTTTCTACGCTAAAATGCATTCGTGTCGAATCTATTTGGGATCAATTCCAGATCCAGATGTATCCTGGATACATCTGCAACATTGCATTATGGGTTTGACTGTGAAAGCAGTTTATAAATAATGACAAAATATATAAGATTTATTTATATACGTATACAAAGATACAGTTTTAAATAAATTAGGAACAACAAATTTCTTTGTTCTTGGAGCGTCCAAACATATTTTTTTTTAATTGTTGGTTCACTGTTTACCAACTTTCTGACGTTTGCTAATAAATCTAACCTCCCTTATGCTATTCTATACATTGTCATCATTGTTACATTGTATTCATTGTATACGCATTGTATACATCGAGACGTAGACAACTGATGTGTACAGCATCCAGTATGGACAGTGCAGTTCAAGCGGCAGCACATCAAACATGTCATGTTCCATGTACATGATGGATGTCACTCGTTTCAAGAGAAGTACAATATCTTGCATGAAGAAAAATAGCAACTGGTAAACATCATTAGAAAATGGTAGAATATCATATTTCATGTCTCTCTCCACTTGACCCAGATAATCAGAACCCTGCTTCTCTATCCCGCTTCCAGGAAGCCAGCTTTTAATTTTCGATTCTAGTAAAAATAAAAATCCAGTACGCTTTTAACTTTACACAGTGCCATTCTTATCAAACGAATCGATTCTGTAGTAGTGGAGAAAGCCCCGGCACTGGATAATAAAACGCAATTTCATTTTTCGAAAGCGGACAGAGACGGCTCATAAAATATCTCAATTTACTGCTACTTTGCTCAAGATTTATAGTCGGATATCTCGACCTAATTTGTAAGAGTTGTACACTGTTAATTTGTACAGCATAATTGGGATTTCAGGCTCAGCGAGTTGGGTTTTACTCAAATTACGAAACAACTGTAACTTTTGTATTTAACAGCACTTGAGCCTTCTAAGGTTTCTGTTATAGCTACAATTACTTAATTGCCATATCATCATGAATTATTTTTAGGCAGCAATTAATATTGAATAGAATTATCCTACTTAGATTCGCGGGTTACATATTTTGCACAGAGGTATCAAATAATCATTGAAGCTAGAAATTCTTGAGAGTGAGCGATTTGAAAGTTGACGCTCTCTACTGACACATAAAGAAGGGTAAACACCTAAGGTCTCTTACATTATTCTGTTACTACTTTCTTATTCTGGAAAGTCTTCCTGCATTAGAGCCTTCCTGCTGTATTGGAACCACTTTCTACTAGAGTGAGATACAAGTTCCAGATATATCTTCAAATCTATTGAAGGCAAAGATCGAATTCAGTATAGCACCTAAGACCTTAAGGTTTCATGTTTATGGATGCAGGCTGAGATAATATTATCTATTGATGCTGACTGATAACGGGATCAGATGAGATTGTGCGGTGTCTTCAAAACTCAATCGTTATGTACTTTGTTGGTGTTCTACATGCCTTCTGCCTTTTTTTGGCTATAAGTAGTATTTCACAGACTTTTTGGAACCTTTAATTTGTGCACAAGGCGATCAAGCTGTAGAAGTATAATTTTGGTTAGAGACATCTCCGATAATATAAAAGCCAGGTGGATTTACTGTTTAACCTGAGATGAGCTCAAGGATTAAATATCTTCCAAAGTTAGAAAGATGGAACAACTGTAGACAGATACAAAAATGTTAAGAGTTGTTCATTGGCATTGTTGATATATGCGAAGTATATTGTAGTATCGAATAGCCGTCGCCTTGTAATATTGACATGCAAAAGTTAAATTAGTACTTACACTCATCGTGATCTTTGGCGGTGACAGTGAGTACGGTGTGTTGTATGTCCTCATTTTCGTCGACTTCCGCCTCGTATAGTGCCTTATCAAAATAAGGAGGATTGTCATTCTTATCAGCGATTCCAATGCGGATGAATTTGGTCACTGAAACAAAACGTACAATAAGATTTCAGGTCATAGAAGGTAAAATTTATGTTGGAACAGGCTTGTGATACACATGTCATCCGTCATATAAGCAAAAACTTGAATAGATTCTATGAAACAAGTTTGATACCAGTGTGGTCAAATCAGATCTAGACTTCGCATTTACGAAATCAGGCACGGCGCACTTTAGGAAGAATGAGCTTTAAGGAAAACAAAATAGGTTGGAAAATTTCGTTTTTTTGCGTTGAATAAAAGTAAAAATTTCTATATGACATTATTTGAGCTTCACGATCAATTCAATTAGTTGATGTATTTTAGAACATCCTGTATTTTTCGCTTCAAACACTTTTTTTTCACTTGACTGTATTCATGTATCACAATACAGAACTTCTACTTGTTTGTATTCCATAATCGACAGGAAACTAATTGATAAATACTGATTTTTATTTATATGACTCCGTTTTTTACTTTGGATTTCCGATCCTCCTCGGCGCCATTAATTCACTTAGAGAACTGGTACACTCCGATCTAGTATATTCTCAGCTATAAATATGGCCTTGTTTTAGGCACGCCTGTTTCGGCCATAGCCGAGGTCATTATAATGGAGAAAGTCGAATTTGAAGTAGCTAGCCACAGATAATTGTGTACACTAAAATACTTTTTTATATTCCAATTTATTGATATACCATGATACGAACAGCCTTGTTTATTGGCAAAGATACACAATTCCACGGATTTTAAAACTAGTAATTGTATATTTTCGCCAACAATATTACTTTAATAACGCAATTGATGTTGATTTTTCATTGTATTACTTAAAAATTACATATTTCTAATGATAACTTACGCAGAAATAGATTTATTTCAAAGCAAGTGTTGACAGGAAGCCAGCGCTTTTGAAATGAAGAGCTATGGTTCATTTCGACAGGAGCCCAGCGCTCGAAATATTCAATTCAATTGAATGAACACAATAAAAGAAAACAATATTGGGTTCCTTCATATACTTCTCACTCTTTTCCAGACCCCAATGCTAGATTTCGAATTAAAAGTGGGCACCCTGAACGATTCTATGCAATTTTTTTGTTCTGTTATTGGAATTGGTCAATGGCCAGATGCTTATGTTCAGTATCATGCTCTAATAGAAAATAGAATATCCATTAGTTAATGTTACCACTATACTATTTCTATTATAATTACATAGAGTATGCGAACACAATTATATTGCTATCATATTTACAGACCTTTTTTTAACCAATACTTTATTTTATACTTTTACTTTTACTTTTACTTCTACTATTTTTTTTATTTTAATATATTTTTTACTTTATACTCATCTATTTCTTGTTTTCATATTTTCTTGTTGTCTTCATTTTTTTAAACATTTACATCTAATAATGTATTTTCCGACAGTGCTTGTATAAAAGTTCGTAAACTTGCTGGTTCTCAGAACTGAGAATTGGGTCTAAGTTTAGAGGCAAAAGAAGGTGTTTCGCCAAAAATTTGATACAATTCAGTATTTCCTCTATTAGAACTTGTACATTCTAATATGAAGTGCTGCGAGGTTCCCATATTTAAGCAACTGCAATGTGGATCATCTCCGTATCCAAGTCTTGATTCATGACTGGGGTCAGGACATGACCACTTCTTGTTCTACTCAAGGTTCTAATGCAAGGTCTGCCTCTATGAATTTAACTCTATTGATATATGGCATTACTGACAGCTGTGTCCTCTTGCTATAGATATATTGTGCCGCAAATTTTTCCAAATAGTGCAGGATATAAATATCTATGTCCACAGCTCTGATAATTAAAAAAAATGGTTCCTATGCATGCGATATTTTTATTATCCATCGAAGGAGTACTTAATAGTGGCAAAAAAATATACCAAAACCCAATCAGAAGTACATTTCATCAGAAAAGTCACTATCTACTTTATTAGCGCACTAACGCTTGTGAAATAAAATACCATAGTTGCTTTAAAAGGACGGCGTGAAAGAAAACAATAATCGGTGCCGTAAAAGGGACTACTACTGCTGTAACGTGGCTAACGGAGTTGGAATGAAAATAAACCTAACAAAATGGCTAATTTCGTCCGCCGAAATGTCGACCTACCAACTTTGGAACTGGAGCTGTTCGGCTGTTCAGTTCGAATGGCGTTGCTGAGCATCATTCAGGCACGTCAAAGCTAATTGTTAATTAACTGGCAGTTTTTTCGCAGACCCATTTTTGCAACGTAGGGCAGATTCTATTTTTGCGTTACGATTGATTGCCGACAGCAACAATGCAAAATATGATTCGATAAATGGCTTTGCAGGGTGCAATTTTGATTATTTGAGGCAAAATTCGCCTATGTATAACTATGTTGTCACCCATACAAGTTCTCAGAGCCCTTTTTTGCGCGAAAATAATAGTTAGCTCACATTAATTCCATATTCGCCAACCGTCATAAATGTAGCATCATTTGAAAATTGAAGCATTCGTACCACTTCGGCATGATGCTAGAAAGAAGAGGTTATTAACAATCAAATCACGATGCTTCAAAATAAACATTAAATACCATTTGGGATCTTATAGAGAAGGGTCTGAGTTTTAATTTAGATACTTGGTGACACCTCAAAATAATAATTTTGGCTCAATTTGTAGGGATTGAAAATTGTCATTTTTATGTTTCTTTCTGAGATTAACTCGCTTGTAAGTCGACAACGGTCAACTTAAGAACTACTACTAAGAAATTTATTGTTAGAATTAAACAGACATCCTAAAAACCATCTAGAATTTAGCACCATAATAGGGGAACACGTAACATCGCAACACAAGCAGTCGTAAGTTGTAAGTTACGAGAGAGGTTAAAAGTTACCTTTTTCATTCAGTCGAGAGAGCTTCGAATAAAAGATCATTTTTTGAATTGTTATGTATTTGGTATCTGCTGAAGGCTATTCTACATAACATTCAACGAAATGAAATGAAAATAAATACGTCGCATCTTCTCTATTTTCTGTAAGCTGTGTATAATATGAATAGAGCTGTTATACCTTCGACGTAATGTAATTCAACAAAAGCGCTCTATCCTACATGTATATTGCCATCTATTCGTTTAAAGGAGGTGCGCAATAGCCAATACATCCGCGTAGGGACCCCGATTCAAGCTCCAATGGTTCCCTTTCATGCAAATCTATTGGAGGTAAACATTGCGCTCAAGTTGCCGCCATGCGTTATAGTCAACAAACGTTACCACCGACTGGACACATGTATTCTGGTCAAACTACACAGCTGGCCATGACTGTAAATACCAGATATGACACAGAGAGCGCTACCTTAATGGGTGCTCCATCTAATTGGGGTGTGCAAGGGGTGGAGTAGGTCAGGACTAATCGTCAATTATCTACACTATCGTGCTACCGTTCCATATCACTGGGACAGATTAAACTGTAATGAGCTTTTGCTGGAATACGATGCAGTACTATTGCTGGGCAATGACTATGTGAGAAGCGTTATATTAGGGAGGACCTTCGCCATATTCGCCTTGGTAGTGGGTGAGGTGTTTTGCATATAAACGACATCAAGGCCTAAAACGATAGCTATAAAAAGTAAGTTTCATTTCGAATTTAATGTTAATGTACTTGACCAACAATGAAAAAATAGGGTCACGTTAGTTGACTCTGCACCTCCCACGGAATGCTATTGTCAGTTCATAACAGATGACTTATATAAAAAAAAAGTTGAGTACAACTTTTATAACAAAGAACGGGAATTGAATAGATCAAGCGTGCCAAACAGGCCCATTCAATGAATCCATAGTCCACTCCCTCCAACCCCCAACAAAAAATTCAACAGAAATGAGTCTCTGAAACCTCAGAAAACAAAATTTTTATTTTTTCGTTTTTTTAGAACGACCTTAACTACAAAGCTTCTTTGTCTTTGGCATAGTAGTAATCTTGTGTATCTTGTGTGAAAGATTCATCAAAATCCGAGTGGTACTTTTCGTGATCTACATAATTATATGCCATGTAACATACAAAAACCATCTAAACTTGTTGGCATAGGAAGTAAAATGTTGTTTCTCTAACTTGCATGATGCAATCAGTCACGCAGAATGCTTTTGAGTTCATATTTCATGTCATGTCATCAACTCGCATATACATTTATATTAATGTTACTTTAGAACTGAATGGTCTCTGACCTTGTCAACCGCTTGGCAACGACACACTTTATTTTATACAAGCTGACCCGACAGACGTTGTCCTGTCTTAGCTATGAACTAGGATGAATAATGAATAGTAAGAGGGTAAATATAGGTAATTATATAGCGAAGTATTTGTACCGCCATGTGGCTAGCAAAATACGTTGGCAGCACTGTCATTCCCCCATCAACTTACATTGAAAGTAGGCATAAAATTATGTGGACGAATTTTGTTGCGCCAAATGCGTCATTTGAAAGCAATTATTGTATTGCTGGATATCCGTCAAACAACGTATAGATTTTTATACAGGGTGACTTTGAAGTTGAGTCATTAATTTTCAGATAGTGATTGTAGAAGGAAGATAAACCAAAATATGTGTGTAAAAATAAAAAAAATTAAAAAAAAAATTTACCTTGTTTTATAAAGTATCCTCCCGACAAGTATTTCAGTGCGGACCTGTATTTGATCGTGCGGTCTTGGAGCACCGGCATGTCCTACCCTGTGAGGTCTTAAGTCACCTGATTCACGAGCTCTTTGTAGTACATTAACAAAGGCACGAGGGGTTGGTTACACTCGATTGGGAAACCGATTTTGTAAAGACTCCCCCCCCCCCGTAAATAAGAATCATGTCCACAAGTTCAGCATTTTCGTAAACATGTGCCATTTTTTATTTCGTTTGAGCCACGCAACAAACACCACTATTCACTCACGCGTTACCGACTGAATACAACTAAAATGTTAGAGGAAAAAAACATTTCTTTTGATTAGATCTACTCACTGTTGAAATAAATGACTCAACTTCGAAGTCACCCTGTATACATAGATTTAGCATACCTTTTTGAGATCTGAATATTTGGTAATATAATCTACAAAATACGTTTTTGTAAAAAATGCAAATATCCCTGAAATGCGTTTATATACCGCGATACTGACACCCTATTCAACAAAAAAAAATGTCATCCAGTAGGTTGAATCTGCACTTCCCACGCATAGCCGTCATCAATTCATAAATGATTACGCTCAGTGTGATTTAAGTCCTCTGAGAAACAGTTGAGTTACGCACATGTGCAACAGAGAAATTAAAAGCATCAAACCAGTCAAACAGATCGATGCAATTAGTCCATAGAGATTTTCTCCCTGCCCTACTGGCAGTTAACGCCAATTTGGCAACGTTGTCCCCTTCCACATCTCCGCGGCATCGATGCAGCGAGTTACCTATCGTTTCGTGCAAGATTCGTGTATATGTTTTTTGCGCTTTAGTGTGGATAGATATCTGAGCTGGACAGATTCGCCAGGCGGTAACCTTGGATAGACAGTAGCAGGCGGATCGAAAAGATTTCTCCATCATTATAAATGTTGAAGGCAAATGTACGGGTAAATCAATGTTATGTGGAAAATAGTTAATAGGTGCATAGAACTTCTGGGGTAGGGAGCATATAAATATACTAAGACTAATATACGTAGTTTTTGGCCTGTTTTTCGCCACCACCAAACCGATTTTCAAAAGCTCTCAGTTTTTTGGTCCTTGGCACCGCAGCAACCTGGTGTAAGAATTTCATCAAAATCCGACCGGTACTTCTCAAGTTATAGCGAGGTCAAGGATTAGCGGACAGTCAGGCATATACACAGACAGATCGACGGAAATAAGTAACACGGCTTTACGTGATGTGTATGTCATATGACATCCAAAAAACATAATATTTCATTAGGAAATACGAACTAGCTCACGATTACTCATGGCACTGTTTATGTGCAAAGACTGAGATACAAGATATGTGCCTATTGATTATGATGAAATCCTGTAAGTTAAGCTAAGGCATATAACGAAGTTCAACTCATTAATTACTGGATACATTTGATGTAACTACTCGTATCAGCCACGGTGCTGTTAAGTTCTCCATACTCAACCGATAAACATGTTATTTCCCTGTAGGTAAATGATCAGAGTTTGTAGCTAAGGTAATGGAACTGGCAGAAGTAAACAGAAAAGTTTTCAGTTTACATTTGCGAACTATTTCGTTGTTTTATATCTACTACACAAACCCACGTACTCTGGAATTAACAATTCTTCTTGGAGTCAGAAGCGTATATGCGAGATACAACAAGATAAAGAAATAAAGAACGGGGGAGTTGTGGCTTTTGTCTACAGCAGTCTTTCCTGCTCCAGAGATGTTTCTTTGGAATCAGACAGGAAGAACATTCTGTGACTTCGCCTCAACTCCAAACCATCACCAAAATTGATTGCTGCCTTTATCGCTCTTCCGCGGACCATAACTGGGATGACCTACTCGAATACCTCGCCGTCCAGATTGACTTCCTGAACATCAATCATCTCGCTTCAGAGGTAGTTCTTCTCAGTGATTTCAATGCCCATGATAAGCTTTGGTTGGGCTCAAACAAGACCGATGCAGCAGGTCGTGCAGTCGAAGCGTTCGCTCTTACTCAAGGGCTAACTCAGCTGGTGATGAGCCCTACTTTTTTCTATTGCTACACCAACTGGCTTTGCTCCTCAGAGCTCTCTTCCACGATGCCGCCTGCCAGACAGACCTGCCTGATTTTGGCGTCCCATCCTAACCGTCTCGAACTTCGTACATCCAGAACTGGCCGATACGACCGCTCATTTGACCTTAATCCGCCGGGTGGTACCTCCACGTTCGACGCTCTGAGAGTGTTTAACTGCCTACACCAACATTATGCATTTAGCTGACTCTATTCTTCATCGGTAAGAATACATAGCCCAGACAACGAGACATATGGTATATACTCGTAGATAGAAACCATTACAGAGTAAAAAACAACGTATAATATACATACATTTACATGTTAAACTTATAATACTCCTCTTTTTTCGTCGGTAGCTAAACATATATTTTTTCAGCTGTCTATACCCTTTGGAAGGAAACGTGGAACTTTCTTATATCTGAAATGTCTTCGAGCAAAGTTCTGTCGTCAACCCAGTGAGGTTTTTACTGATAAAACCCTCTCT